TACAAGACTACAGCGTGATGAAAAATATCAACGTCAAATTGTGACCGGAATGTCGTTTAGAGGTCCGTAAAGGCTCTCAAAACTTCAAAAATGCTTCAACATAGAGCTCAGAACAAGAATTAAACTAATCCCAACTATACCTTGATGTAAAACATAAGAGTTCTCCTAGAGATATACTCATGCCAGTAATGGTTGTCACCCCTTTCAATTTTTTTATTGGAGTGTGTGGGGTGTGGGGTGGGGTGACAACCATTATTGGCATGAGTATATATGGTCATTACCTAAGAGCATGACATTAGTTATAAACTCCGATCAATGACAATGGCGTCATCGCAGAAATTCATTTCAGTTGTCCTCTGCTCATAGTGAATCTGCATGTAATCTATTTATAACGCATATTTTCTCCTCGACAGAGACCAAACAAAAGATTTCCACTTGATACAACTAGTAACAACATTACCGACCATAGTTATTTAATTCTATATTCCTATTTATAGAAAAATTCAGATCCGTCGTGTGTTGCTGTTCATGCTTTCTTTCCTGTGAATACCTAGCGTCACCGCTGATTTTCAATGGCTCAGTCATATAACGTTCAGGTTCCGATCCACAAAGCATTCGTAGCGTTACGACCTGTCGCAACTCTACAATTGTCCATAGGCTTACGAATGGCGTAGCGCTACGAACGCTTTGTGGATAGGGGCCCTAGGTTATTTTAAACTTTATGCCAAAAGGAATCAGTTTCTGATGATAGGCAAGCCCTGTTATTCTTCAGATTGACGTTTGAGCTTTAAAGAGATGTTTCTGTCAAGTTATTAGTCTTGGGTAACAAGCAGCAGTCACTCTCTATTCCATCACTGAGTATATAATCGTGTCTGGCCTAATTATATCTAAGTCACAACTGTGTCTGCCTTATCAGTATCTGAAAGCTTCAATTCTGCAAATGAAAGGAAAGTGTCCAGAACTTCCTGAAAAATGTTAGTGGTGTCTAAATATGTTAGGTAACACCCCATACATTACAGTATTCACAGACTGCAGCATGTTGCCACGTGACAGCAGTGGATGTGGGTGACTGCGGAAGGACTCAGACCTATGTTATATTTCAGGCTACTCTTTTGCAGCACAGCACAGATAATTGTCCTTGTTTGGGATTCAAACCCGTACACAGAGAGTCAGACACCTGAACCCCAGCAAACAAAGTAAGCTTATTACCCCACTCTGCCACCGCGGCTTCCACAATGGAACACTGATAAGTGGTAGTCTAGGTCGTGCCACTCTGACAAGTGTAAATTGGCACAGCTCCCACGGCCGAAAGTTATGGAAACAGAAATCCTGTTAGAAAGTGGCCAAATGTAAATGCAACACATGTTCTATTTGGGACTTCACCTTCTAAGGAGTAAGGTACAGCTTCTCGTATCTTTTGGACTTTGAACCCTACACTCTCAGAAAAAGGCACGGAATCGCCAGAATACAAAGTCCGCGATTTGACCACACGCGGCCGATCCCAGATGGGACTCAGGCAAAGAACTACAACTGTTTTCAACAAAACTCTGACCCATTTACAAAGTGAAGGTCACGCTGACAATTGTGTCAAAAACAGCTTTGACGATAGGGGCCGTTCATAATTTGTGCGTGTGTGTGTGCGTGCGTGCGAGCGTGCGTGTGTGTGTGTGAGTGTGTGTGAGAGATATATATGATTTTAAGGGGAGGTCATCATTTTGTTCTGGCGAGCTAGGGGGGTCATCAATTTTGTACACACATACTTGGAGTGGTCATCAATTTTGTAAACACATACTTGGGGGGTCATCAATTTTGTACATAAAATATGTTTAAAATTATGCTTAGAAATTATGGGTAGGGGAGGGGGTCATTGATTTTGTAAATGACACGCAGCGGGGGGTCACTTATTTTGTACATAAATTTTAGGGGGCATTCACATTGTACATTCATCTCCATAAAAAATCATCACACCCCACCCCCACCCCCACCCATAAATTATGAACGGTCCCTAAAATAGTCAATGACACTTGGTAGAATTTCACTAGTACTTATCATGTAAGGTCACCGACTGGAGAAACAGTAGCACAAGGCCTTACAGATAGACAAATCAAAAGATAAGCAAACGTTAAGTTAATGTGTTTGTGTTTTGTTTTGTACATTATCACATGCAACACTTTAGATTAAGTTTATGACAGAAATAATCATGATCTAGCCTCTCTCGTATATCAGTATCACAATAAAGTGAGTGAGCTTTAGAACGCTTTTAGCAATAATTCAGCAATATCACGACAGGGGATACCAGAATTGTACCATTTAGGGAATAGAACACGGGTCTGCGGCGTGAGGAACAGACGTTTTAACCACTAAGCTACCCAACCTCCCCTTATAAAGTCGGAGAATACAATGAAATAGCTGAGACTGTGATAAACCACCATGCTTTCAATAACCTCTTCTTCAAATACATGAGCAAGATGTATTTTACGTCCGTTTGTTTAAGGTTCCTGGATAGTTTATAAGAGGGACACAAGTAGGATGGAAGCTCCTGGAATCGTAACTTAACTGTTCCTTGGCCTTACATTGTTGGGTTGGGGTGGGGAGGGGTAGGACAACCATTATTGGCATGAGTATATATATATATGTTTGTATATATATATATTAGTCTCTCGTACAGACCCTGAAGCAAATATATCCAAAAAAGCCCACACAAGTCTAGAAAATGTGGCAAGTCTAGATTTCCTCAGCCAGAAGAAGGTCTCAGGGCTCCTTGATCATTATATATTTATTACTTTTGACGAGATCAAGTCTTTACTATGAACATTTTATATAGTAAAAATATGTTCATTTCAGAGACTAGTTGTTAGTCTAATATATATATATATATATATGTTAACTCTCTCTCTCTCTCTCTCTCTCTCTCTCTCTCTATATATATATATATATATATATATATATATATATGCGCATTACATTATTATTTAAAACAGAAAATGTCATAGCACCAAATTCAAAAGCAAGCAATTCGTTTGTACCCAAGTAGGTATAACCAATTGTTGGCTTCAATTCATGGGGTTTATTTCTTCCTACTGCACTTAGTTCAACTTGCTACTAAGACCCCTGTAGTGGTTCATAATCCTTTTCATCTTAGAAAGTGGAAGATATCCCTTGTCCTTGTAAATGAGCCTTTCGCCCATATATATCTCCATTTGAATCATCTGATCGATTATTCATAGAGTTTGCATTTGATCGTGCAATTTTAATCATTTCCAATTACACGTGCACAATTACTATATCCAGGAAACATGTTTTAAACATGAAGATGAATAAATCAATGTTGATTGTACAATTCATATACCAACTTTTGGCAACTGGCTGAAGCCAATGGAGGGTCATCAACCAGGCTGGTATATCTTTGCCGTGTCTAATAAGATGAATTCCTTTAATTATACAGTTTAACATCATTGAATTAGCCATATTGAAATCGTTGGCACTTAAAACACATCAACTTGTTCATGTAGCCTCTTTTACACCCCTATGACAATGGTGTTAGTAGATTTTGGTTTGATTTGTTGTTTTACGCCGCTCTCAGCAATATTCCAGCTATATGGCGGCGTTCTGTAAATAATTAGACATTCCAATGATCAACAGTATGAGCACAAATCTACGCAATTGGGACACGAAGACATATGTCGACCAAGTCAGCGAGCCTGACCACCCGATCCCGTTAGTCACCTCTTACAACATGTTGCTATTGCAGTTGATGTGTGTACATGGGTAAGCCATACATATGGAGAGTCATTCTAATTACTGTGGTCACACATGTACAGTTAACGTTCATAATAACATGAATTGTATTTCTATGATTATTTAAAATCATATTTATATGTCCGTATATGAGTGGACGTTTTGCGTTGTTTGTCTCTCTCCCTCTGCCAGACTGTCAACAGTGTGTGTGTGTGTGTGTGTGTGTGCGTGCGTGCGCGCGCGCGAAACGTGCGTACGTTTGTGTCTGTAGGTTTTCGTGTCCGGCGCCGTGTGCCTATCTGACCCAATGTATGGCTATAGGTCTGTCTATGTATGTGGTATACCTAGCACTTTTACATAACCAACATCTGAATACAGAACGTATAACAACCACAAAGTAAAATAGACAGAGAACTATTGCATGACTTCTGACACACTGTATGGCACACTCCTGCTTGAACAAGGAGTCTACATTAAAACTGGTCAAAATTATATCTAATCCCATCTGACGGGAAAGCCAACTTAACTTCGTACAAAGTCCATTTCTAAAGACAGTTAGATCGAAATGAGTTGTCGGAAGTTGTGTTTTAATGTTTAACAAATTACAAATTATTTACCATTCCTATTGTCCAAGGATTAAGGAAGCTTTCCGAAGTCTTCTATGTTACTTTATGCTGGCGATATGTATCTCATCTATATGTATATTTTTACCGAAACATTTGTCTGCATAATATACATTCATTATAATCATAATAATTGCCATTCTTAAGTCGTAAGATTTCAATATCCGTTTCACAGATAACTTTTGTCTCGTGTCTTTGCTTTCTTGGCTCTTGCTATCGCTTTCCCGTCTTGTGTTACAGCTTTCTTGCCTCGTCATATCGCTTTCTCGTCTCCTGTTATCGCTTTCTTGCCTCGAGCTATCGCTTTCTCGTCTTGTGTTATCGCTTTCTCGTCTCGTGTTATCTCTTTCTCGCCTTGTGTTATAGTATTTTCCACTTTCTCAAGGCCGTAATTCAAGGCAAGAAAGCGATGTCCCATCTCGGCATACCATCAGTGAATACATCTCGAAACGACACCCTGGACATTTTACAAGCGCTTCATCTGTGCCATTGCATCTGTTGTCACGTAAAACAACCCTCTCACCCACGCTCGAGTTCATGGGTTCATTTTCCGGTGAAATAATCTGAAACAATAATTCAGGCCTAAACACTCATTCTTATCTACTGATAAGATGTGGCTATTATCTCCAAACAACCCACGCCATGAAGACAGCTTTTCTAATACTGTGTTTTCAAGTGGCAATTGGTAGGCATTTAATTATTCATTCTTTTCTATAGATGTTTAAGGTTTTCGCTTTTAAATTATACACTCCTAAAATCCACACCATACAGAAGAGAGCTATACAGTATTTGTACAGGATATTAAATGTCTATTACACATTAGTTTGTTCGTTGTGTAGCTCACTTTGATTATATGGCTGGGTCAGTTTCGTTACTATGTGTCCATTTGTTGATTTCTTACGTCGCACTCAGCAACATCCAGCTGTATGAATAGGGTCCAGTGATTGACGTCAGCCTCTGTGCAATATGTTACTATTGATAATGTAAAAGATTATGTAAAATGTTTCATTCTCCCACAGATCCATTAATTGTCAGGAGGGAAACATATTATGTGTAATGTTTATACACTGATGACTAAAATAACTGATCACGAGTCCTCCACAAGATGGGTACCATTTTGTGATTGACTACTTCAAGTTAATGCCGTAGGAACCTTATATTGAGAGCGTAACGTGGGAGAAAATTCCGAAGCGATGAAGGCTTTGGCCGCTTACCACTTTGAGGGAACTTAAATCACAGCAATGGTGCTGACAAACGGAGAAACATAATCAGTGTGCTTGGTCATAGAAACTGCTGCTTTCAGACTTCTTTCGAATAGGCCCATATACAGCCTAATAAGAATTCCAGACAACAAACCTGATCTTGTCCTTTTTGATATCATTGAAATTTCTGTCCCTATTGACAGCAACGTGATTGGAAAGATTCAGGAAAAGCATGCTAAATATGCGGACCTCGCCTTTGAAATGTCTCGCTTGCATCCTGTACACTGTCATTTGATCTCGGTGCCCATGGTTTGGTACCTCCTGTTCTCTTGGCGCAGATCAGGAGAATCCCCGGGTTCTCCACCGGGAGCACCGCCTTTCTGACACTCTGGGTAATGCAGAAGGCTGCAGTTGGGGAGTCCACATATTCTCCGGAAAGTTCTTGGTGGGTTCGACTAGGCAGCGTTTCCTAGGAGAAGTCCCATTCGCTGTCTGGGCTGCGTGTAGAGGGGGCAAGGGCCCTGAGCTGATGATGAGCCTTAAAAGCCTGACTGTGCCAGGATCATCCGGACCCTCTCTGCTGCATTTTTCATCTTTATCTGTAAAACATAATAAGGGTCATTTATAAAACGCCTGTATCCACACACTTGGGCATGCTCAAAGCGCTAAGACATTATTACTCTGGATAATCTAAGCTGTCCCTTAGGCGCTAGAAGGTTTATAGTCACATGACTTGTTCCACCGGGTACCCAGTTTTCTGCTGGGTGAACAGAGGCAATTTTGAACAAACCTACTTGCCTTAGGTGACACCACATGTATCACATGTGCTTCGTTGTGGGCCAGGACTGAAGTCCTGGAAACTCTCAGGAGTCAGGCTGCCAGACACGGTCACCCACCCAATGACTCTCCGCACTCAACGATTTGTAACCTGAGCTTTTCGCACACACACCACACACCACCAAATAAATAACTTAAATGCTTAAAATTTCATAAAATGCAATATTATTCCAATGATTTGAATGAGACTGTACATTACTGTTACTGTTTCAAGATTGTACAGGACTAATGAGCCAAATCATTTTAGCGGTAGGGTGGAAGGTGGACGAAGCGTTTGGTCGTCGCATCGGAGGCCAGTGTTTACTTCCCAATATGAGTAGACTGTTTAAAACCTTTTATTGCTGGAACGTTGCTAAATGCGGCTCAAAAAACGTATTCTCTCACCCTGGGAGACCATTACACGTGTTTCAGGAGATTTTCAACAAGTGGTGAATCCACCCGACGCTGGACTAGAATGCTACCATTGCCACAAATATGACCCAAATCACCCTGAAGACAGGTGCCATATTCATCATTGCCATGACGACGAGGTATTGTATCTGATGCTAGGTTGGAGGTCGTTATTGAAATACTATTTATTCTAAACCTAAAAGTAATGGATCATGACTATTTGAGATTTATTTTTGACTGAGCGCATAATGTCATAAAACAGTATCCCAAAAATATTCATTAGCCTCGGGTTAACAGGAATGTTTAATTTATGTTCTCTGGTATTTCCATTAAACCAAATTTTTTAGGGATGTTTCATTCGGAACTTAACAATACAATAGACTTGAAATTTTATAAACATTTGACTTGTCTTACATCGTAATATTTAGAAACGTTATCATTAATACGTCTCTTTTTCTTTTCTAGTTTTGTGAAGTAGATATGGAACCCGATCATACCGTGGAAGGGAAATGCAAACATCGCAATGAAATTTTCGTAAGATCATTACCAGTTCACTAACCTTCACTCAAACACTACAATCTCGAAGTTGAAGAGATGTAAATGCCTCCAGTTGTCCACGGTTCGATGCGACCGGAAATTGATGAAGTAAGAAAGCTTAAGAATGGATCAAACTCATATTTCGAGATATGAAGTTGACACTTAAAAGTGCTCGACACAAAAGTGTTTAGCTGTATGTTGTATTTGATGTGGTCGAGGTAACAGTTTTTAAAAGACTTAGTCCTAAGAATAACATCTGTGTGCCGTCAACGCTATATGACATGTTCAAGTTAAAGACAGCCAAAGTTTGACATAAAGGTGTTATTGTTTTTTTAATGTGGTCAAAACCTGTAACAACCCTTAATGAACTGTCTGGATAGCTATTTCGAAACGTTCGTAGCCCTGCTGACTTCTTAAGCCATTGTTAAGACATTGGCTACGATCAAAGATAAGAATTCTTAGGGGCTACGAACGTTTCGAGAATATGGGCCATGATCCGTATAACGTATGTGTGTCATCAACGTTATGACGTTTTTGTGTGAACAAGTTGTTTTAGATAAGCTAGAAAGATAGGTCACAAGTCGGTCAATGTAAGGTTGTCACCGTTGTAATCTGATATTTGGTAGATAGTGGTTTATAAACATGTCTACCTATTGGCATCCAGGAGACGGCCATATACTTCACATTGGGGCTGCATTGACTGTCTCTTATTGAATACATTCTTCACATTCACAAGCATACAGGGGCTGTGGGGTAGCCTAGTGGTTAAAGCGTTGGCTCGCCACGCCGAAGACCCTGGTTCGAATGCGCACATGGGTACAATGTGTGAAGCCCATTTCTGGTGTCCCCCGCCGTGATGTTGCTGGAATATTGCTAAACGCGGCGTAAAACCAAAACTCAGTCAGTCAGTCACAAGCATGCATGGGAATCACAAGCATATATGAACATATGACTCTATTATATTAGTATTTCTGTGGCACAAGCTTCATTTAGAGAAAGTAGCGGTGGTGTAGCCTAGTGGTTAAAACGTTTGCTAAAGACCCGGGTTCGATTCCCCATATGGGTACAATTAGGGAAGCACATTTCTGGTGTCCCCCACCTGGATATTACTGGAATATTGTAAAACGCGCGAGAGCGTTGACAGCAAAAACAAATTCATACTTCAAACGAATTACACATAAAATAGGTCGGGACAATGGCATTGCAGTGGTTGAAGGGTTAGCTGGAGACGCCATAGGGCCTGGGTCGATTCCTTGCCATAAAACTTGACAAATCATCAAATCACTGAGAAAGAGGTGTTCATAATTCATTATTCTTATCAGGACTTCTCATTCGTGCGAATGGGGAAGATCCGGGTTAGAATTGATCTTCAGCAACCCATACTTGCTGTAAGAGGCTACTAACGGGATCGGGTGGTCAGGCTTGCTGAATTGGTTGACACATGTCATCGTATCCCAGTTGCGTAGATCGATGCTCATGCTGTTGATCACTGGGTTGTCTGATAACTATTTACAGACCGCTGCCATATAGCTGGAACATTGCTGAGTGCGGCGTAAAACTAAACTCACACTCTCACTCACTCTGATTCGTTAGGTTAAAGACCCGACACGTGATAAAGGTCTATTCAATGATGTACTGTGTGCTGAAAAGCAAACAGACAATAGTGGAGTAAACTTATGTCCTGTATACACTGAAAGTACGATTTAGGCAGTTCTTCCCATATTTTGAATTACTTTATAACCGTTGCCGTATTTGGAACTGCTACTTGTATTTAACCGTCTTTTAATTATTTCTTAACCATTAAAATATCATAAATAATTATTACTTTTATTCAGAACCCTGTTTTGGAATGTATTTGCCAACTTTGTCTATCATTCATCTTGTCTTTCTCCAAGAACAGAATACAAAGGAGTCCAGGTCAAGTGTATAATGATATGGCAAGACTAGATAGCCTAAGGTCTCCTGTTTAAAACCGGGTATTATGCTTATGTACATCGTGCTGAATGTTCCCAGCAATGCCTCCTCGACACGGAACCCCTGTGCATTGACTACAACAGTTTGGTCGCCCTCGGAAAATGCAGGGTTTGTTGTGGAGATGCCAATTGTGTCAATCTAGCGCTCAACATCTCAGGTAACCACTATATATAGTACATTTATGATGTCAGGTTGTTCGAACACATTTTGAATTTAATTGTGAGTGAACGTGAAACGATGTTTAATATTATTTCACCATTTAAGATGATTTATGATTTTCCCTAGTGTTTGTTTTCTTTTGCCTGGCAGTTGTAAGAATATTTTCCGTCTATATTTTGCATTTCACATTGAAGCCTCTATTTCGCCATAAACCCGCGAATGAATATATTCTGTCGTTATCTGAAGTTACATCGGCATAATACAGTTCAAAAGAAAACATCCGTATTCGGTATGACCTTCTCATTGCGCATTAGAACAACATTCAGTTGCCCCAAAATTTGGGGAAATCCATTAATATATAAGTCTAGTGAGTCTGAAAAGCTACACGTGTATAAACACTTTTTCAGGTGTGCCTCCTGTGTTGACCTTGCCACCCACAATACCAGGTACGCCCGATTGTGTAGATCTAATTCCAAACTGTGCGACGACTGTCAATGTTTGTTCCACTACAAATGCAGCAACACTCTGCAAGAGATTCTGCAATCTCTGTGGTAATCTTTCACATTCATACTGATGTTCGGTATTTGTTGGTTAACGCCACACTGAGCAATATTTCAGCTGTGAAATCAGATTGTATATAATCGCGCCTGTACTGGACATGCTAAGTGACTGACACACTGGCTGTCGAGCCAAAGATCTAGCATACGATGAGAATTGTTTTGTTTGTCTTTTTTTGATGTACTGAATTTCATTTGCATATTAACTAAAGATTACATATATTCTAGACAATAAGTAAACATTGTAACTTCTCTCGCTGATCTGAAACCAAAATTGAATTACAATTACCATTTACATATGCATATGAAAGAATTGTAGAGTCACAGGCCGGTTTTCGCCGTTGCTACTCCACAAGAGACAATATTTTTATTCTATAATCAAGTATACAGCGTTATTCGTCCAAAAAGAGAGGGAAGATCTACACATTAGTTTTCATTATTTGTGGATTTCTCAAAGTCTTTTGATTCTATTAATAGATCCAAGCTGTGGATGGTTTTGAATCATAATGGTATCTCACCCAAAATGTTCTGTAGTATACAATCGATTTATGATAAGGTATGTGCCTGTGTTAAAGTTGTTTTGTTTTTTATTATGTGTTTTTATTGGTTGGATATGAGCGCCATATAAGCGAACTATTACTATACTCAGCAGCAAAAGAAACGTCAGTACGATTTCAAAATTAGATAGGCACTGTAATCAAATCATTACAGACATGGACATAATAAGCGGATCAAAAAACAGTTTTTGTGTACAATATCCTGAATCATGCTAAGTGACACATTTCCAAGACATTACGTGATCGTTTGCAGTCCATTCAGACTCTTGACTTCAGTATCTAGTGTGACCACCACGAGGCCTGGCGCAATAAATCGGCTGTGTGCGGCCTTGGTATGACATTATTCAGTCTCCTCTAAATTTTATCCCAAAGATGTTCAATTGGGTTTAAATCAGGACTAAGGGCTGGCCACTGCATAATGTTGACACCGTTCTGCTGTATGAAGTCCCGTGTAGCTCTGGCAGTATGGGCCCGGGCGTTATCACGATGGAAAATGTTGTTTCGGTGACGTGCGAAATGTGGTATAACGTGGAGTCTGAGAGCTTGGTCGATGTAGCGCACTGCCGTGATGCCGCCTCCTCTCCCTGGACCAAGGTTCTGGAACACCACAGGACCCACTCTCTGGTTCAGGCCTATTCCACCCCATACCATGGTGCTTGCACCTCCCCATGAGTCTCTGTCCATAACACATTGGTCAGTGTAACGCTGGCCACGTCGTCGCCATATTCTTGTTCTGCCATCTGCAGTTGATACGCAGTACCGAGCCTCATCTGTGAACAGAACAGTTCTCCATTGCCTGTAGCGCCAGTTTTGGTGTTGTGGGGCAAACTGTTGACGTTCACGTCGATGACGAGGGGTGAGGATAGGTCCACGGTAAGGTCTACGGCAATGGAGGTTCCCGCTTTTAAGACGTCGGTGTACTGTATCAGTACTGATTGGTCTTCCGTGTGTTCCAACTGTCTGCCGTGCTGTTTCACATGACTCCATGAAGGGATTCTGTACATGTTGTCGCACAACATGGCGGTCTTGTCGTCTTGTGGTCACCCTTGCTCTGCCAGTACGGGGGCGATCATTTGTGGTGTTGGTGGCCCGGAAACGTTGCTGCAGCCTGTAGATGGTCCGAACGATGACCTGGAAGTGATTGGCAACGACTTGTGCAGTGTGACCAGCTTCAAGTCTTCCTAGCGCCTGGTTCCTCTTAGCTGTCGTGAGTCGTGCCATCCTGCTGACGTTGTAATGTGAATGTTTCAACCAGGTTTGGGGGTGCATTTTATAGGGCTGGTCCTTGTAAACAGCACGTGCAGCATGAGTTGCATGAAAAACATGGAGAACACGGTGTCATCTCCGAGATCAGGTTGCGTTTTTGAGACCATTTCCTGGGTTCCGTTCTGAGTTTGGGAAGGAATGTCTTTGCTCAGGTAAAGTTGGAGATGTTGTCAAAAATATACAATCAAAACATTAAATGAGTTTACAGTTATCCGTTTCTGCGAAGGAAAAATCCAAACTGACGTTTCTTTTGCTGCTATTACTATTACACTTACAAATCCGGGTTTTTCTCTATGATCAATGATGCTATCAATGTAGAACATGTCTTATTTTAAGGGAGAGTATTTGAGAAAAGAGGAATCAAAGAAACTCTAGAATGGGCTTGAAAGTTTGCAGTCTTAGCAAAGAACCGAGTTCAATTCTTTCCAATGAAAACTGATTTCAACGTTATCATTGCCACATAACAAATGTGATGAAAAGACTTCATTTCTTGATGTATGGGGTATTTCTGACTATATATGATGACCCTGGATAGAGTTCGATATCCATTTGCAAAGGTTTACGACAACATGTCAAAATTAAAAGAATTGTTACCCGCAGTTTATTGAGAAAACATAATGTGCAAACTTCCTGATTGATAACATCTATGTAAAACCAGGGTCAAAACAAGCCAATTAGTCCACGATGTTTTAAGTTAAGATCTGATATAATCCAGTAACCTTTTAAAGACCATATCCCTTCCACTTCCCTCTATCCACCCAAATTTGAAATATGGGGGACCAGTGAGACCGCCCAGTGAAGCTCATATTTAGATGTGTGCAGAAAAAAGATTTAGAGCATCAAAACACTTTCCCAAAAGACTGTATGGCAAGAAGGTTTCTTTTGTGTCGAGCAATATTCTAGCAAATGCAGCCTTTGGTCTCTAAATGTGAGAATTGTGAGTTTCAGACAATCCTGCACTTTCGACGAAGATATAAAAAAAACTTGGTCAAAAGTTGTTTGAACAAGATTACAATGCTTAAGGTTTCAGAAAAGCTTTCAAAAGGATTTATGGAATACATGTGAAACACATTTCCATATATAACGCATCCAAGACATCATTTATTTCTAAATCTCCATTTTGACTCGTTCAAAATGTTTTTCGATGTGAACAACTGACCCGATGTTATAATTGAACGATAACTTTTTGTGTTTCTGCTTCCCTTTAACTGTAGCGCATAAACTTCAATCAAATGTATTTGAAAGTGCCCCAGAAGGAAAACACAGAAGAATTCAGAATATTTTCATTTTTGCATAAGATATACCCTCAGACCATGCTTGCTTTTTATAGGAATGCAATGATACAAACAGTAGTTTAGGCTTCCGTTGGTGCGTCGTCGAAGATGCTTGATACACTTTTTTTGCAACATATGTAATGTTTTGGATTACACTTCTTAGTAAAATACAGATTCTAGTACTTTTCTTGGGTTGAGTCCCATCCAGGATTCGAACCCACACCCTCAGAGTCAGGCCCCTAATCACCAGCACACAAAGTCAGCCGCCTAATCCGCTCAGCCACCGCGACTTCTACAAAAATGAAAGTCGGACAATTGGAAGTCTAGGCTGCGGATTTTGTGTACCCCTCTGATAAGTGTAAATTGGCACGGCTAACACGACCGATAGCTATGATAACACATGCCATTTAGAATTCTAGTACTTTTGTTGGGTTGAGTCCCATCCGGGATTCGAACCCATACCGGGATTTGACCACTTTCTAACTGGCATTGTGTAATCATAGCTTTCGGCCGTGGGAGCCGTGGCAATTTGGCACATTGATAACATGAGGCGCAGAACCATATTCGCTCACTCTGGGAGACCATCACACATGTTTCAGGAGGTTTGCCGCCAGTGGTGACTTCACCAGACGCTGGACTAAAATGCTACAATTGCCACAAATATGACCCAAATCACCCTGAAGACCAGTGTCACGTTCACCATTGCCATAACGACGAGGTATTATTGATGATGCTAACCTGGAGGTCGTCATTGAAATACTATTTATATTAAACCTAAGAGTAATGGATCATGAATATTTGGAGATGTATTGTTTGTAGTATTGAGTGACAATATCATAAAACATTGTCCCCAAAATAGTCACTAACCTTGGATTTACATTATGCTTTATTTATGTTCTCTTTTATTTAAATTTGATAAACATTTGACTTTTCTTACGTCGTAATTCTTGAGAAAAGTTGTCATTAATATATCTCTTTTTCTTTTCTAGTTCTGTCAAGTAGATATTGGACTCGATAATATCGTGGATGGGAAATGCAAACATCTCAATGAATTTCCCGTAAGATCATTTCCAGTTCACTTACCTACAGTCAAACACTACTTTACCGACGTTGAACAGATTTAAATGCCTCCAGATGTCCAAGGTTCTGTATGATCGAAACACGTTAAAAACAGAAACCATAAGAATTTCCGAACTCTTATTTGGAGACAACCAAATTATATCGTGGGAATATGTGACACCATGTATCAGTATTTCTGTCACGCCACCAACATTGGAGAAGTACGAGTGTGTTGGCAAACCAAATTAATACTTAGAACGAAGGTAAAGGTGTTGGCGTTGGAGAGTGCTGTTAGATGGTGACGCAGGTTCCCTGCCATGAGCGTTGACATGTGTCTAAAACCAGGGTACAACAGATCACTGAGAGATGTTATCTTTTAGTATCCGTATAAGGAATTCTGATTCGTGTGGTTTAAGACCTGTAACATGAGACACTATTTCTCAAATGATCTGTCACTGCTGCAAAAGGAACACTCCTTCTTCAAAATTACACCCTGTAAATACTGAAAGCATTACGCTCCATTTAGACAGTCTATTCCATTGTCTTAAATTATATTTTTTCGAACCATATTTTTCACATTTGTTTGAACGTTTACCACACCTTTAGTTACTTTTAACTAATAACAAATTTTGAATTGTTACATGTATTTAACCGTTGACATATTTTATACTTTTTTTTAACAATTACTATATTTTAAATTATTTGTGTCTGTTACCATATCTTGAACGAGGTATTATCGAGAACCATATGTTTTGAAATTTATTGCCAACTTTGTCCATCAGTTGATAGAATAAAAAGGAGTCTAGGTCATGTGTAGAGTAATTTGGCATGGCTGGATTACATATGAGATCTGCCGTTAAAAACTGTTCCAGGGTCCAATAGGATGGGATCCATTTTGTCAAATCGTTTCCAATAAAATAATCATATATCTGGGAGTAAATGCCAGGCTATCAGTCCATGTTATTATGTCGATGTACACTTTGCTGAATGTTTCCAGCACTGTTTGACCGACCCGCAGGCCCTGTGTAATAACTTCAACGCTTTGCTCTACGGAGGATGCAGGTTTTGTTGCCAAGATGCCGATTGTGTCAATAAAGCGCTGAATGTCTCAGGTGAGCACTATCGTCCTACATGCATGTATGACCTGTGGTAACTGTCATAGTCTTGTCATACAAAATTGCAGAAGTAACTGTCATCATGTACCAAACACTTTTGAATTTAAATGTGGGTGAATGTGATATAATGTGCAATATTATTTCACCCATTTAACAAGATGTATGCATAGGTTCAGGGGCTGCTTCTTCTAGTCGGGAGTTAGGCTTCTTTCAAATTGATATCCTGTATTTCGAATAATTTGGTTTTCTTCTTCCCGGCCGTTATATTGCATATGTTCATCTTTATTTTGGATTTTACGTCGAAGGAATCTACTTTGGCAGCTACAGTCCGTTTGAGTCAGAAACGGGCCGATGAATTGCAAATTTTATCATTGTACAAAATTGCCACATAAATATAAATAGTACACATGTTTATCATTTACTAATACCCAACAGCTTTCTTATATTTGAAAATTTTCCGGACTCCACCAAAAAAGTTGTTTAAGAAACTATCATCATTGAAAACGCAAAGGTTGTTATCTGTCGCGGCGGGGTGAAACCACAGAAATGGAACAGCCACTATCTTGTCGTGCACGGGATACACATGCCTGATGAAAAACGAAGTTGAATACTGACGTGAAACAGTTGATGATTAAAGTGTACGATTTTTTCCGTGCTGAAGCCGAAAGGGGCAAACCATTTTATGCCATTAATAAATTCCATAAGCGGGCAGCAAAAGCTTTAGGAGTATCAGCAAGGGTACTGACAAATGTTCTGGAACACAAACATTGTGAGGGTGATGCGAAGCAGGTAGGGGTCGTGTCAAAATCACACAAATTAAAACATTTGGACAACTTTAAAAAAAAACATGTAAGGCAGTCTATCAACAAGCTCTATTCTGAAAACAAATACATGTCGCTGAAAATTTTAAAAAAGTATTTGAAGCAAGAACACAACCTCGGAGTATCAAGGTACACCCTCTGGCGACTCTTACACTCTTTCGGGTATCGTTATAAGAAAATTTCGGGGGAGAATAGGTCAGTACTCTGTGAACGCCCTGATATCGTTCGCTTGAGAAATAATTTTCTCAGGGTTATAAAGAAGAAGCGCGAGGAAGGGTTCGAGCCAGTGTACTTGGACGAGACCTGGGTCAATGCCTCGCACACTGCGAGCAGTCAGTGGGTACCCGATGGGGGTGATTAGGGGTCAAGTAGAAAGCTGCCTGTAGGGAAAGGAGAGAGACTAATCTTTCTCCATGCTGGTTGCTCCAGCAAAGGCTTTCTCCCAGGCTGCGACTTGGTATTCAGGGCAAAGTCCACAGATAACAGAGACTACCATTCCGAGATGAATGGTGCGGTTTATCCTCGATTGGGTTAAAAACAAGTTGGTACCAGCTCTACCAGAGAAGTCTTTTATCGTAATGGACAATGCCCCATACCACAGCGTGCAGGACCCCGACAGTAAAGGTGAACCTTTCTACAAAGTTGACAGTTACATAAAAAGTAAGGGTCACGATATTCTGCGACTTCCACCCTATCACTGTGACCTTAACCCCATTGAAATGATATGGGGTATTGTCAAAGGAGATGTTGCCAGATCAAACTTTTAGATTACGTGACGTATAGGTTTTGGTTAAGGAATCCCTTAACAAAATCACGACTGAAAGTTGGTAAAACTGTGTCAACAAGGTAGCTAACGTCATTGAACAAGGTTACTGGTCTCGGGATGGCTTACAACAGGCAACTGTGGCACCACTTGTCATCCCTTTAAGTCGTGACTATGACACTACGACAGACGAGGAACCGACAGGTCTCCCAGAATAGATTTTGAGATGTCCCCCGCCATGACTGGCTGTTCCGTTTCTGCGGATTCACCCCGCCGCGACAGATAACAACTTTTGCGTTTTCAATGATGATAGTTTCTTAAACAACGTTTTTGGTGGAGTCCGGAAAATTTTCAAATATCAGAAAGCTGTTGGGTATTAGTAAATGATAAACATGTGTACTATTTATATTTATGTGGCAATTTTGTACAATGATAAAATTTGCAATTCATCGGCCCGTTTCTGACTCAAACGGACTGTATGTGAAAATGAATATATTCTGTTGTTGACGTTTTAAATGGAACCTTAGACGTTTGAAAAGAAAAATCCGTGTTCGGTATGACCTTCTTGCTGCGCATTAGAACAACATTCATTTGCCCTTATGTTCTGGGGAATACAGTAAGAAGTCTAGTCAGTCTGAAAAAGTACAGGTGTATAAACACTTTTTCAGGTGTGCCTCCTGTGTTGACCTTGCCACCCACAATACCAGGCACTCCCGATTGTGTAGATCTAATTCCAAACTGTGCGACGACTGTCAATGTTTGTTCCAGTACAAATGCAGCAACACACTGCAAGAGATTCTGCAATCTTTGTGGTAATCTTTCACATTCATACTGATGTTCGGTATTTGTTGGTTAAATCCACACTGAGCAATATTTCAGCTGTGAAATCAGATTGTATATGATCGCATCCAGACTGGACATGATACTCGACTGAGACATTGGCTATCGAGCCCATGAACTAGGATACGATGAGAAATAGTCAACGATAGGGAACAGGCAATCATATTTTCTTTGCTACAAATCATATCCTCTGCTCATTAAGTATCAGGTTTTGGTGACCCCGGCGTTTGTATTTGTAACCAGACTTCAGTTAGAGTTTTCAGATACTGTATCTAGACACATTATTATCATGTTCATCTTTAAGAATTTTCTTTAATTTCTAAATAAATTCATTTGATTTGTGTAAATGGCGAATAAGATCTTAAAGGCCATCATTGTCAAATCATCAAGTTTGCTACTGTTGGAATGTGCTGAAACGGTCCCTGGAAGAATTTCACTACCTTCACCTACAAATCCGGGTCTTTACTCTGTGATCATTGATGCTATCAATGCAGAGCATGTCTTAGTTTCACAGAGAGCATTAAAGACACAAGGAAATGATACGATGTGGAATCAAGAAACACTAGAATGCGCTTGAAATATTGCAATCTTAGAAAAGAACCAAGTTCAATTCTTTCCAAAGAAAACTGATTCTAACATTAACATTGCAAGGCAATATCCCACATAACAAATCTGATGAAAAGACTTTATTTCTTGATCTATGGGGTATTTCTGACTAAATATGGTGACCCTGGATAGAGTTCAATAATTATTTGCAAAGGTTGACGACAACATGTAAAAAATTATAAGAATTGTTACCTGCAGTTTATTGAAAAACACAATGTGCATTTGTTTAACATTCTTCATTGATAACATGTATGTAAAATCAGAGTCAAATCAAGCCAATTAGTCCACGATGTTTTCAGTTAAGATCTGATATAATCGAGTAACCTTTTAATTTAAAGGGGCACTGATCCAGAGCGATTAATGTTTCCAGCCAACAGTCTATTTACGAAACCAAGCTGCAAACTGGTCAGCCCCTGTTCCCTCGACCGTGACGGACACGGGGACTGGGCTACTGTCCACCTTGGCAGAATTTCTTCGACCTAATCAGTGGGGCATTAGGAAGGATGGATGCCCATCATATGCCGTTATTTGAAAATATCCCCGGTAGTTCTTGACTGATTGTAATAAAGTATCCCACCAGTGTAGGCTTATTCAGATTTTCAAATGCTTGGATGGTATAGTGACTGATCCAATTTCTGTGTCTTTTACCATGATATTTAATCATGTAAAAATATGCTGTCTATTACCTATGCTATGATATCAAAAACACGCATTTGATGTATTTGCGGTAACAACCCCCTATAAAAATCTGAAATTTTACTTAGGTACATAGGTATATACAGTTTTTAATATAACTAAGCACACAACAAATGCTTATATGTATTTCTTATGCATCAATGAAGTTCCGTTCGTATCCTCAAAACAGTGTCGGTGCATAAGTTTTTTTTCAGTCAATCAAACTTGCACGCAATACAGCAATTACTACTCTCTTGCTGTAACCCTTGTTTGGTGGTAAACCTACACATGTTATTTGTCCTCATTCACTTGATGGTCAGTTAATGAATTTATAACAGGTATAATAAGTGATAACACCACTCAGATTACCCGACAAAGGTTCCCATTTGGCATTTCTCGTGTCTGGAGTAAATACTCATCGTTATAAATTGAGGTCTGATGTGGCAAATGTATTACACCTTATGTAATATGCGCATTGAAGTGCGGCAAGAGGAATTGTCAGCTGGGTTACAAAACAAACATCGATCAAAGGATTAACCAATAATATGCTGATTGATTAATTGCTTTTATCTGCACAGCGGATTTGTCAAAAGGTAGTGCTTATATATGGAGATGTACTAATCTCTACTGAATACACCCTGTCGTAAAGTGTCTGTGTAAACACATCGTCCTTCCTTCAAAGGATTAACCACCAATACATTGCTTGATTGCTCATTACTGGCTAACTAAATTACTTTTGCAATCAGTTTCCAGGTGTGCTATCTTGTGTGACCAATGGAATTATACACCAATGTGTAAAACCTGAAACGATAGATAACTTTTTCGCATATTAGACTGTTAAATGACACATGACATGGAACAGGATTCTTTGTCAGCTGCAGATGAATGACATCTCATTCCTTTATGTGGATATTGATGGATACATTCCCCGAACAAGGTAATAGCCTGATATTGTAGCTATAACTTTAGTCTGTTTTAATTTTAATATTTGCATTTTGTTTTTATTCATTTGTTATAGCATTCAACAGAATAATTTTCTTTTGCCGTGAAATGTAATGAAACAGACAGCATACACTAGGTCGCACTTAGGGCGTGTGTGTGAAATATGATTCACGTTGTCAATCTATAAAATATCTAGATATTAGAGTCATGTTATAAATTCACTAAGTATAAGCAGATCGTGTGCATTTTATTAAGTTTCAAAATGCATAAAATTAGGATTATAAAACAAAATATAAAGATGTACATTGACTTCGTTATTTTAGTCCTAACATTTTGTTACCACTGGCAGATGGTTAAACTTCAAAATGTTTTCATTTGTTATCAAAATAATGAAGATCGAAATATTATCGAGTAAAACAGATTTCATCTTTGTTGATCAGTCTATACTTCTGGGATATCAAGTGGGTACTCACGGCAGCAAAACAATAACAAAGGAACAACCAGTCCACGGAAATTGCTCTGGATCAGTGCCCCTTTAAAAACATATCCCGTCCACTTCCCTCTATCCACCCAAACTAGAAATATGGGGCATCAAAACACTTTCCCACAAGATGTATGGCAAGAAGTTGCTCTTGTGTCGAGCAATAATTTAGCAAATGCAGCCTTTGGTCTCTAAATGTCAGAAATTTAGAGTTTCAGACAATCCTGCACTTTCGATGAAGATATCAAAGATACTTGGTCAAAAGTTGTTTGAACAAGGTTACAATATTTCAGGTTTCAGAAAAGCTTTCAAAGGATTTATGGAATACATGTGAAACACATTTCCATATATAACGCATCCAAGACATCATTTATTTCTAAATTTCCATTTTGATTTGTTCAAAATGTTGATGTGAACAACTGACCCGATGTTGTAATTTAATGATAATCATTTGTGTTTCTGCTTCCCTTTTACTGTAGTGCATAAACTCCAATGCTTCCATCAAATGTATTTGAAAGTATTTGAAGATACTTGATACACATTTTTGCAACATATGTCATATTTGGGATTACACTTTCTTAGTAAAGTACAGATTCTAGTACTTTTGTTGGGTTGAGTCCCATCCGGGATTCGAACCCACACCCTCAGAGTCAGGCACCTAATCGCCAGCACATAAAGTCAGCCGCCTAATCCGCTCAGCCATCGCGACTTCCACAAAATGAAAGTCGGACAACTGGAAGTCTAGGCTGCGGACTTTGTGTACCCCTCTGATAAGTGTAAATTGGCACGGCTAACACGGCCGAAAGCCTCGATTACACATGCCATTTAGAATTCTAGTACTTTTGTTGGGTTGAGTCCCATCCGGGATTTGTTGGGTTGAGTCCTGAATTTGACCACTTTCTAACTGGCATTGTGTAATCATAGCTTTCGGCCGTGGGAGCCGTGGCAATTTGGCACATTGATAACATGAGGCGCAGAACCATATTCGCTCACTCTGGGAGACCATCACACATATTTCAGGAGGTTTGCCGCCAGTGGTGACTTCACCAGACGCTGGACTAAAATGCTACAATTGCCACAAATATGACCCAAATCACCCTGAAGACCTGTGTCACGTTCACCATTGCCATAACGACGAGGTATTGTTTATGATGCTAGGTTGGAGGTCGTCATTAAAATACTATTTATACTAAACTTTAAAGTAATGGATCATAAATATTTGGAGATATATTTTTTGTAGTATTGAGTGACAATATCATAAAACATTGTCCCAAAAATAGTCATTAACCTTGGATTAACATATATGTTTTATTTATGTCCTTGTTATTTATAGTTTATAAACATTTGACTTTTCTTACGTCGTAATACTTGAGAAAAAATATCATTAATATGTCTCTGTTTCTTTTCTAGTTTTGTCAAGTAGATATTGGACTCGATAATATCGTGGATGGAAAATGCAAACATCTCAATGAATTTCCCGTAAGATCATTTCCAGTTCACTTACCTACAGTCAAACACTAAAAGAAAAGGAATATCTCGAGGTTGAAGAGATGTAAATGCCTCCAGATGTCCAAGGTTCTGTATCATCGAAACACGCTAAAACCAGAAACCATAAGAATTTCCGGACTCTTATTTTGAGACAACCAAATTACATCGTGGGAATATGTGACGCCATTGCATCAGTATATCTGTGACGCCACCAACATTGGAGAGTGCAGAGTGCTGTTAGGTGGTGACGCTGGTACCCTGACATGTGTCTAAAACCAGGGTAAAACAGATCACAGTGAGATGTTATTATTTAGTATCCGTATAAGGAATTCTGATTCGTGTGGTTTAAGACCTGCAACATGAGACATTATTTCTCCAATGATCTGCCACTGCTGCAAAAGGGACACTCCTTGTTCAAAATTACACTCTGTAAATACTGAAAGCATTACGCTCCATTTTGACAGTCTATTCCATTGTCTTAAATTATATTTTTTCCAACCATATTTTTCACATTTGTTTGAACCTTTACCACACTTTTAGTTACTTTTAACTAATAACAAATTTTGAATTGTTACATGTATTTAACTGTTGACATATTTTATACTTTTTTTAACCATTACTATATTTTGAATTATGTGTATCTGCTACCATATCTTGAACGAGGTTTAATCGAGAACCATGTTTTGAAATTTATTTGCCAGCTTTGTCCATCAGTTGATAGAATAAAAAGGAGTCCAGGAGATGTGTAGAGTAATTTGGCATGGCTGCATTACATATGAGATCTGCCGTTAAGAACTGTTCCAGGGTCCAATAGGATGGGATCTATTTTGTCAAATCGTTTCCAATAAAATAATCATATATCTGGGAGTAAATGCCAGGCTATCAGTCCATGTATTATGTCGATGTACACTTTGCTGAATGTTTCCAGCACTGTTTGACCGACCCGCAGGCCCTGTGTAATAACTTCAACGCTTTGCTCTACGGAGGATGCAGGTTTTGTTGCCAAGATGCCGATTGTGTCAATAAAGGGCTTTATGTCTCAGGTGAGCACTATCGTCCTACATGTATGTATGACCTGTGGTAACTGTCATAGTCTCGTCATACACAATTGCGGAAGTAACTGTCATCATGTTCCAAACCATTTTGAACTTAATTGTTAGTGAATGTAAAATTATGTTCAACATTATTTCACACATTTGACAACATGCATGCATAGGATTGGGGACTGCTTGTTCTTGTCAAGCTTCTTTCAAAACGATAGCCCATATTCTGAATACTTTTGTTTTGTTAATATCTACATTTCCCATCAGTATTTCGATTTAAAGTAGAAGTAATCTATTTCGTAAGATATTCAAGAATGAATATACTCTGTCGTTCACGTTTTGAATCGAACAAAAAGGAAAATGTGTTTTCGGTATGGCCTTCTCACTGCGCATCAACACAGCATTCAGTTGCCCCTCTGTATCAGGGAAATACAGAGGGAAGCCTGTTAACCGGACTAGTTACATGTGTTTCAGGTGTGTCTTCTGTGGTGACGCTTCAGCCATCCACAACACCAAGCACTCCCAATTGTGTAGACGAAATCACTGACTGTGCAACAACTGACAATGTTTGTTCCAGGAGTCTTGGACAAAAAGTCTGCAAGAAATTCTGCAATCTCTGTGGTAACTTTTTACAAGCATACTGATGTTTGATATTTGTTGTCTAGAGCCACACTGAGCAATATTTCAGCTGTATGACAGCAGTCGTGTTTGTTGCATTTGTGTGCAAGAAATTTATTAAGTTAGTGTTTCAAATTCTGAGCTGAGTAGGCTTTCCGATTGGAAGCACTTGGGTAGTAAGTGCAATGATCACTTAATCAGGAGATCAGATGATTCAGTTTTTTGTCCTGGATCTATGTCATGGTGCATTGTCCATAACAACGACGGTTTGGTCAGTTCTGTCATGTAGTCAGGGAATGCAGAAAAGTTCATGTCGAATGGTAGTCCGTAGTCACATTCATCAGCTGATTTCGATCCAAATATAAGAACACAACCTGGCAGAAATACGAGATGTGATCCAACAAGGAGCACCAGTATCTCCCATTTTTCAAGTGGTACGACTTTGACTAGGATCTGGATGCTCCCACTGATAAGATCATGTGTCATCTGCATTATTACACCCTTCATTCAAGCAAACTATTTCATACCCATGTTATCTTTCTGATTTGAAATCCCCGAGATACCCGAGAAATGATGTCCACCCACTTACAAAGTGTCAGCTTTTGATTACCTCGACGTTTGTTTTTGACACCAAACGTCCGTAAAAGTTTACAGAAAGCACACCTAAACACATTCATGTGATCTTCATCTTTAAGTATTTTCTGGATTAAATAAATCCGATGTGCTCAATCGGCGAAAAACGTCTTAAAAGGCATGTTTGTTAAAGTCATCCAGTTTGCTTCTGTTAGATTCTGTTGAGAATGTGTTTTACGTTCATCTGTCCACAGCTTATCGATCAGGGGAGGCAATTCTAAACTGTGTTCGCCTGGAAATCTGGTGTGCCTGATGTGTTCTTTCAGTGCGTCAAAGGGCTATCATAGTTCGGTTCTTGATAAAAATAAATGTGCACATTTTGATGATGTCCCGAGCTTCCTTTGACAGAGATTTGCGAACAAACCCCCATATGTACTGACAATGATAACTAAACTAGGCGTCCCCCGAGGTTGTACACGCAGGTAGCATGTTTTGCACACATTCTGTCAGTGTTGTCATCCGAAGAGGAACACATTGTAAGGACTGACAACTTCTTTACTTGCAATGGATGCGATGTTTCCCTGTAGATGCTAACACCGTTGGCATCGCTTGCTTGATAACGGTGTTATCATCTACACAGCGCATCTATTGCAATTAAAGACGTTGTCAATCTGTACAATTTGCTCATCTGTATATTTAAAGCCACTCGAAGACAAAAAGTAATAATCTGCTGTTATATCCACCGATCCATCCCCGGTCACACGACACAATTAACATACATAAAGTTACAAACCTCCATCATATACCACCACATTCAGGCGACTTAATATACGAAATATACGCGAAATAATACTATATATATGAAACATTCGTGTGCGAATAAGGTTCACGGAAGATAAATGTGGTCAGTCTCTTCCCAGTAGCTTTAAACGATTTATTTTGTCCTGATGTTTTAATACTGAAACTGTTATACTATACTACCCAGTCAGCCTGAAAAGCCACAAATGTATACATACTTTTTCAGGTGTGTCTTCTGTGGTGACGCTGTCGCCATCCACAACACCGAGCACTCCCGACTGTGTAGATCTAGTCGCTGAATGTGCAACAACTAATAATGTTTGCTCCAGCACACTTGCACATAAGCTCTGCAAGGAATTCTGCAATTATACTTATGTCTGTTATTTTGTTTGTTGACGCCGTCGATAAATATTTCAGCTGTATGAAAGATGTCTATATTATTGAGGCAAGAACAGATACCTGCTTAAAATGATAAATGATTATGGGATACCGTGACATGAAGTCTACGAAACCTGGATATGGATCAGACAAACATAAACATGTCATACTTTCGTATTCTCTATTCGAAACATAATATATCTTAGATTGGAATGCATGTATGTCTTTCCTTTGGATGTTACAAATAGTGAAGGTCAGTGACCAATGCCCAATCTATTGAGTTGATGTTCCCTCCACGGAACATAAACAAACATAAAGGGTACATCAACCCCGAGGGCCCCGAGGGACCAGTGAACAACATATTTATCTTACCGAACACCTCAATGTTAATTTTGAACTGTTTGAAGCACGGGTATTGGATCAAAATAAGGTACACTACTGAAACGAAGTACCAAACCAATTCCCACAGTTCGGCATTTCCAGCGGGTAACATAAAAAATGTTACTCGCTTGTGAGCGGGGTACATTGATTAGCTCAGCCAATCAGAAAACGACATTTATGTGTGAGGTAAGATAAAATAGATTAACAGCCTTCAACTTTTCACACCTTAATGTGGTCAGTCGCTTTCTGGTGACGCAATGTCGTCCGAAGCCTCTTGTAGAGCTTCATAACATGTCTCTGGTCAAATACATGGTTCATTTTACTAGGATTTTCCTTCTTTGCAGGCGTCCAATCACCAGCAACTACACAAATTACTACTACTACCTCTACCACTACTAGTACTACCACTACTACTGCCACTACTTCTACTACTACTACTACTACTACTACCGACATCAACTCTACCGCCATGTACGGATCTCGTGAAAGAACACCAGTGCCATACGCTTCCAAATATTTGTTCAGACAAACTCGCTGGTGACATTTGTCCCGAGTATTGTGGGCTTTGTCAAAAAGACCAAATGCATTTGTTTATACGTTGTCAATGACAAGCGTTACACCACATGAACTCTCTTGGCCAGATTCATTATTCACTCACCATTATCATGTAGCTCGATACCCACTTGGGTTGTCAGTCAAGACGTGATGAGGTAATTTTATGACATCACGATGTCGTGTTGGCCACAGTCGGTTTACTCCTGACCATCTGCTGAAAACGGATGGGGATGGACCTCCCATGTGTGTCTCTTGCGATGAAGTGTTCACCATCAAGCATATACTGCTTGACTGTGTGGACTTTTCAACTGCAAGGGATTCACATTATGATGAGATAAATCTGAAAGATCTGTTTTCCCGCGGACATCTCATTGTTAACTACCTGAAGAAAGTTATCACAAATTGTAACTTTTTAATGTGAATGACGGATTGCATGTTGAATCGGTACTATGACTTTCTGTTTGTAAATATTAATGTAATGAATCTATAAGGGTTGTTTTTTGGTTTTTGGGGGGTTGTTTTTGGTGGGATGGGGGGTGGGGTTGTAAAAAAACAAAAACACATTTGGAAATGTTTATGAATGCAAACTTATATGGCTAGAATAATGTGACGTAAAACCCAACTCAACTCAACTCATGTAGCTCGACTACTGCAGAGTGTTCAACAACAAACAAACAAGCGAAATGGTTGTGATTTTGAAGGTACTTCTATGCAAATATTCTTCAAAGTGATCAGAAATATCATTTTTTGACACAAATGTGATACTACTGGCTGTATTCTTCAACGTAGTGATATAATCTTCTGTATATTATACAGTTACACCAACACTGCCAATTTGCAAAAGTACAACAAGAGAGGATAACTGCCCATTGGCTCCAAACGTTTGCAGCGAAAAAGTAGCGCCATACTTTTGCCCTGAGTTCTGCGGCTTGTGTACAAGACAAGGCAAAGGTAAGTTGTGTAAGAGCAGGCGTATAAGGGGGATACAGAGAAACGACTATCAATTGTACGCTTTGTGACTGATACAATTTATGCGTGGGTGTTCGAATGCAACAAAACGGTACTTCCGATTATCGCAAGAAACCTAATTAGGATATTTTCTTTGAGGGGCATTTAGAAGCTGGTATAATGAACAGGAACGATTTTTTATGATAGATGATGTAGTGATAGCAAGTGATGCTACACATTTTATGGATTGTCAACTTCTTTAATTGTAATAGATGCAATGTTTTGGTGTTAGTGTCTACTCCATAACGTCGCATCTATTGCAATTAAAGAAGTTGTCAATCCATGCAATTTATTTCTCTTTACGATACCAGCTTTTAAATGCCACTTTAACTCCTCATTAGGATATGTTTATGAATCACATGTTGCAACATATGTACGTGGACATTATTAAGCATTTTCCATTCTACCACTTATAAGGTAGAGAGCGGTTCTGGAGGAGTGACTTAGCTATATGACATACTTCAATGTATTCCAAGGAGTGAGAATTTTTTTTCTTCTTGTTGCTGCACAACTATGGAGAGAAAAAAACCCCTTAAGATGCTAACGCAGGAACACCACTAATCAACAGATGGGAGCTACCCACTGCTTATGCTAGAGTTACACTATGTTCCCGGCGTCCACAGCAGCTGTGCGTTTTTGGCCATTTTTTCCTCCAAAGTCAAGTTTTGTTCGGTGGGTCCTGCTGAGTTCTCTCACGGACTATCACGGTATCCCTCACGGGCCGTTGGGATAAACGGGCTGCTGAGTCCCGGAAGCTCGAACGCGCACTACGGCTCGGCCCGCAGTCCACTACCGACCCCATTACGTTTCCTCCCGGCCTGTCGCGTTCTGATGGGTTCCCTGACCTATCTCACGTTTTGATCAAGAGTTTGACACGTTTAATTTTGCGCGTTTAATTTTGCGACTTTCTACAGATGAAACGTTTGTGCCTCCAAAGCAATAGCAGTCATTGCATCTGGCGAGACAAGAGCAGCATGAACTCCCAAGATGACGAAGATTTTGTGTTTGTATGTTTGCTGGGGACATACATCGAGTTCTTGCGTCAGCAAGAAGGCCAGTATCAGCTGCAGAGGGGAATGCCAAAAACGCACCGTGCCGTATCTCGAAGGCCCTTTAATGCGCCTTGATGCGTCATGATGAAATGGGACGTATCTGTACCATACAACCCAGCTTGTCATGTGAACCGGGACAAATCGGGCCGCAAGGGTGAAACAACCGTGACAAATCGCCAAACAAACGTGGCCGAATGCGACAAAACTTGAAAGGACCGTGACTGTAGTTGCACATTTTTTAACAGTTTAAAAATCTGGCACGGCATCCAGTGCAATCACGGACAGTCACGTTTGCTCATTCAGTGCCCCTACGTTGTCGTCCATCCCGTTTTGTCCCCGTTTCATGACGTTGCGGCGAAACGGGGCTGCCGTGGCCGCCGGGAACATAGTGTAACCCTAGCATGACATGATAATATCTCACTTCTGTTGGTCACTTTGCTTTGCCGAAGTGCAAATTTCAGAATATCTTGGACAACCCCATAAACCCCCATTCTCAACTCTTCTCTTTCTATGCTCACTGATCTATCAATATGCATTTCATCGAGACTACTGGATCAGACCATGCGAAGGTATATATAGAGTCTTACCATTGTGTCTCTATCCCAAACACATACCTACCAGAACCTAATGCTCCAGTACCAACAAGCAGTTACATCTGTGTATGACTACTGAGTTTACCCTTGTCATTTTCAATTACAAGTATAATAATAATAATAATCTTTATTTGCACTGAAAAGGCCACAGGCCTATAGTGCATAAAGTTATGTTACATTTGAGATGAATTTCGATTGGGTAATCATAGCATAGTAAATGAACATGGATTTTTACTACTTAACAGTGAGGAGAATTTTATCACATTTGGATGGACATAGTAATATCGTTTAATATATTTGGTTCGCAACCGGTCATAAAAGGGACATATATCTTCCATTTCGTTTAAATTACAAAGTGTACATAATCTATGTTCTCTTTTTACATTCATATATCTGCCTCTTTCAATCAACAAATCATGAGAAGAACATCTGAATCGTGCCAGTGCTATTCTAAACTTTTCAGCATTAACACAGGATAGATATGACTCAAGGACCATGGCATTTTAAAACAATGTACATGCATCTATTTGATAAGGGTATCCTTTCACACCATGTTTGAATATACATATCTTTTAGTCTTGTCGTTAAGGATTGTATGAATAACGTAGGTGATTCGACATATTGTTTATTCGACATATAGTTACAAGTATGTTTAAGATGTTTAATACAGTAACAAAATAACATTGATGTTAGAGAGTGACCAGAGTGGTTGAAACACCATATTGACTGTCATGTTTTTGGTGTAGATCATCTGTGACGCTCCGGGTTTGAACTGGTCTTCAGCAACCTGTGCTTGTCATAAGAGGTGACTGACGGTATCAGGTGACTTAGTGGATGCGTACATCGATAGTCATGATGCCAATCACTGGACTGACTGATCGAGTCTCGATAATGTACAGACTTCAGTCACAGAGATATAATATATTGTGACTTCAACAGCTAACTGAGTACGAATCAAATATGATTTTCACACATGCAACTAATGACAACGTCGTGACCTCTCTGTGATACTGATAGCATTCACTGTGTTGTCCAATACATCTAGGAACTACCCCAACTGATGGAACCAGCAAGTACTCATCAGCCACTACCGTTGCGTCTACGACTCCATCGACAACGAATCCAGGTACGTGTTAATGCTGCTGATTGAGAGAATTTACCATGCCTGTACTATCTGATAGGGCAAGACTTAATACTTAAGATTCAATACTGAATTAACGGGATTCATTACATGTCCATTGAATTATTTCCACGTACTCCTTTGAAACGACTCTGCTCAGTCCCCAAACACGTTCTATTAGTTAGCATCATTAAGCAAAAGAAACAAATGATTTAACTGAAAGCGTATGAAAACGAGATAAACTGTTTCACACTCTCTGTAACAGAAGGTTTTGGATAACCTGATACATAACGTCCAACTGTTAATACATTGAGCCATTTTTACCTATTAATTGGATTTCAGTGACCTTGGGTTCAAGTACTTGCTCTGACCACAGTCCAGTTTGTAGCAGTATTGCGGACATATGCCAAAGAACGTTTGGTCTGCAGCTTTGTGAGAAAACATGTCGTACTTGTGTCTCAGGTGGGTCAACAGTTTTTTCAGATAAATACATGTGAAAAAACCCGGTGAGAATTCGTCTTCATAACCTGCAATCCATGTGTCTCAAATGGGTCAACTCACGGGTCTGAGGGTCATACTTGTTGAACTTATCCCCCCCCCTCCCCCGTTAATGAAGTCAGTAAACATGGAGTGAGTGAGTGAGTTTAGTTTTACGTCGCACTCAGCAATATTCCAGCGATATGGCGACGGTCTGTAAATAATCGAGTCCGCATGAGCATCAATGGCATGCCTCAAGGCAGCGAGCCTGACCACCCGATCCCGTTAGCATGGGTTACTGAAGACCAATTCTAACCGGACCTTCACGGGTTAGTAAAATTGTGCGCGTTGCACAAGAACCAACCAAACAAAAGGATACTGCAATAGTGATTCCTTTGTACTGATATCTGAACTAAGATCGATAGCTTTAGGACAATCCAGTGATTAATAGCACAAGCATCGTCCTATACAATTGGGAACCGATAACATGTGTCAACCAAGTCAGCGAGCCTGACCACCTGATCCCGGTAGTCGCCTCTTACGACAAGCATGGGTTGCTGAAGATCAGTTCTAACCCGGATCAGTTCTAATCTCGTTCAACTAGGACAAGACTATTGTGGCAATGGCGTCAACACATGACTCATGCTACGAAGTCATTGAACATCCTCCCTGTTCACCATATTTAACAGCGTCATAGCCCCCTACACACGCACACAGACACCTTTACGCTTGGCTAGCAGTATGACGATGACGATGAACCCGTAACACTAGCGAATCGAAATATTTTACACAACTGGGATCCATTATGAGGGGCGGTGGGGTAGCCAACTTGTTAAAGCGTTCGCTCGTCACTCTGAAGGGTTCGATTCCCACATGAGTACAATGTGTGAAGTCCATTTCTGGCGTCCGTGATATTGCTGGAATGTTGCTAAAAGCGGCGTCAAACTAAACTCACTCACTCCAGTATAAATATAGCTCACGACCATTCCCCGTTAATCACAAAAACACACAGCAACCAGTGATTCTACATTAAACTATGCCGCACGGACTTACTATTCCCTTTTTAACTAAAACTTTCCTATGCAAGCATTTGATATCAACATGTGCATGTATAATCCACGTGTATGTAAATGTATCGATATATACAAGGCTACACCTGTCGCCATAGGTAAGTTGTCGTTCATGGTATTTTCTGTTGTAGACAATAAAACAATGGGGACGACACTTGCTGCAACGATTACACCAATTTCTACGGCTAAAACAGCAGTTAGTTCCACTACAACAACTGCCACGACTTCAACTACTACGTCCACACCTACCAGCACCACGGTTACAACGACCAAAGCTCCTCCGGCAGTCGACCGTACGTGCTATCAGTGTGGTAGCGTTGACACCGGCCGCCCCTGCTCTCTCCCTGAAATATATATGCCTCATGCATCTTCCTGTCCGGCGGGGGCACGTTTCTGTATGATTGACCTCGAACAACATGTTGATGGTACAACCAAATATATAAAGAGGTAAGTCCATTATTTCGAGGATTAAGTATAACCGTGAACTAACTTGAAAACATAAAAAAGTGATTGAGAGAGTTAAGTTTTACGCCGCACTCGGCAATATTCCAGCAGTATGGCGGACATAACAAAGTAATGACAAAATAATCGAAATTTTATTTAAGTTGCTAATAATAACGAGAAACATGCGTTCTATATATAATGAGAAAATAATCGAAGCAGCAATAAAAAGTGGAGATTTCGATTTTCAGAATTTAAATAGAGAGGAAATAATCGAATTTGCGAAGCAATAATCGAATTACAGTGAAAAAATCAGAAAACTGAAATAATAGTCATAATAGTTAAAAAATGAAAATGAAATAATATTAAGTAAATCCATATTAAATATTATGCTAACAATGTGGGAACATTAGGCTTTTTGTGGTATTGGCCTTGCTAGTTATTTGGTGGTGTAGCCTAATGGCCTGGTAGCTCCGACATACCTGAAATATTTCTGTCACCGTTTAGTTTTCTTAGGTAAAGAGTTTAGTGTCCTTTTCTAGAATCATTCCATCCTTTGGACGCCATGATAAATGTTGATTTGCCTTCAAACATTGGACCCCATCAGGGGGAATCCAAACCAGGTCTGCATCGTGACGAGACAACACTTTACCCACATGGCTATTTCATTCTGTGTTTGGTATGTCAACCCTGATGTTATGCTCTGTGTGAAAGGAAAGGAAAATACACATGCTTTCAGTGAAGGAGTTCTCTTTGACAAAAAGAAAATAATCGAGTTTGGACCAGACAATCCAGTTATCATCAGCATGAACATCGATCTACGCAATCGGGATACAATGGCATGTGTCAACCAAGTCAGCGAGCCTTGCCACCCGATCTCGCTAGTCGCCTCTTACGGCAAGCATGGGTTATTGAAGATTCACCTAACCCGGATCTTCACGGGTAGACATGTAAATACACAAGTATCATGATCAAAGATCCACACCTTTCGGTAGAATGACACGCTTTCAACCCAGTCACAGGATCTGACTTTCACATCAATTTTGTCTCCTCGTAAGACCATCATAAGAATCAACGCGGTCTGGCCTGTAAAATAATGAAAGACGATTGTCCTTACCCTTTCTAGAACAACGAAATATTCACAGAATATTTGATAAGATACAAGGTGTGCTGACCAGCAAAATGTGTTCTCCACTATCATGGCCAAAACCCTTTGGACTTTAGTTATATGGCGGCGGCCTGTGAATAATCGTGTCTAGATCAGACAATCCAGTGACAAGCAAGTCAGCGAGTCTGACCACACCTCTTACGACAATCATGGCTTACTGAAGACTAATTCTAATCCAGTCTTCACGGGTGTGGTATTTGGGACATTCCAATACAAGCAATACGTTTTTCTGCCCAAAATAAGCGATAGTCAGTAACAGATTGTATTTCATTACCAAATCTTCTGCAGGTGCGTCAATAAACAGCAGTGTGAGAAGTTGTGGTATCAGCAGACATCAGACATTAGCGAGTGTGTAGACATGGACCCCACCTCTTTACTGTCATCCGTGACATGCCGATACTGCTGTACAACTGACAACTGCAACGGCGGTAAAGTTCCTGCCAAACAACATCTGTATAAGCCAAAGAAATGATTATCCGGGCTGGTGTAACAAGGAAATAAAGGTGTCAGAAACTGTTTGTTTGTTTGTGAAGGCCGCTGTCAGAATCAGACCCAGATACAGCAGCTGGGTACGACCACACGCAGCCAAGTCAACGAGCCTGACCATCCGATGCATGAAGTGGACTCTTTTAGTGAGCATAACATAGGTCATCCATCATCAACATCATGCATCACTATTTTAAATCAATTTACGTATTTCCTGTGTCCAACCTGAACCAGCCAGAGAGTGGGAGGGCGAAAAAATGAATTAAAGCTTAAACATTATGAACATATTTTTGAACTTAGAGTGTAACTTACTTGCAGAAATTGAAAATTAAGACCGCTTATGACGTTTTAAAATGTAGGATGCAAATCGAGTCTTTCACTTTGGAAGCAATGTTTCAACAAATACAGATGATGAAAGATCAAGCTGAACCGGTTCTGAGTGTGGTAGGGTGAGAGTACTTTTTTTTTCGTTTTTTTCGTACAAAGTCAATGTGTCAAGAAAAGACCACTAATTCCAGACATTTCCTGGAATTTTGATATTAATCAAACCAGACAGTGTGAGAGTATGAAGTGAATACAGAGAGTCTGACATAAACTGAATGGATAACATCTTCAGCTAAAAAGCACATGGCATGAAGACCAACATGTAGAAATGATGGTACGCTACAGTTTATCTTCGAGTTGTAATTATCTAAAGTGTATGAAATCTCGACCTCTTTTTTAATGTGTGAAATATTTGGATGTCTGTTTGCTAGTCTTGATTTGAAAATATTGTATTTTGTGATAATAATGATGCGATTGAGCACATCATTTCGTTTCTCAAGGTAACCAAATAATACCTTTTTCTTATCTAAGTGAAGAAGAGTGCCTGTTTTATGTTTAGAGTACTTATTTTGTTCTTGACACGGTTTTCCACATAGGTGGGTGAAATTGCGATAGAAAAACCTTACATTCTTTCACGTCGGATTGAAAATTAGTTGGGCAGGAGAAAGGAATGACCGAAAAACACACAGACAGTATTAGTAAGCACCAAATCCAACCCGGGATACTAACGCTCCAGCACACGCTTTACACACATTCCTTACCCAAAATTAGGTTGCATGATAGAATTATTGTCCGCCAGCGGAATTATCATCTGAACTCGTCGTCACGGGATGTTGTGTACAAGTAAAGCTAACACTTGAACAGGGCCACGTGTGGGGACATATGGTTGGCAGTACCAGAGTCCCGATCCACAAAGTGTTCGTAAAGTTTCCGGTTTGGGAAGCAAATACAATCAATACTAACCTGGTTGACACATGTCATCGTATCCCACTTGCGTAGATCGGTGCTCATGCTGTTGATCACTGGATTGTCTGGTCGATTATTTACAGACCGCTCGCTATATAGCTGGAATATTGCGGGGTGCGCGTTAAACAACAATCAATCCATCAATAAGTAAGTGGCAACTAGTTCACTAGGGCCTGTACATAATCAAGTTTGGACTAGACCAAATATGATAATGTGAGGTATCATGGCACGCAGTCAAACAGGTCTCACTACCCGATCAATGTAACAGCCTCTGAAGTTAAGCAAAATGTCTACCTACCAGAATTAAACGGTCACCATGAATTGTCCACCTTTGGCAAGTTTAATGACCAAACATCATTCATCAGATCTGATAAATACAGTCACTAGACATTCTTTATCACCTTTTGTACTGACCAAACATTATTCTTTACCTCAGGTAAGTTCAATCACAGGACCAGGTAAGTGTAACAACTAAGCATCGTTTTATACTTCTGGTAAGTACAACCAGAAATATTGCAAATCACCTGTGGTAAGTCCAACAAACGTCAAACATTGTTTTATTACCTCTAAGTAAGCAGTGCTCGGTGTCTAATTCTTCACAGAAAGTGATGTTATCACAACCAAATCTAAAAAGCCCTTTCTTTGTTACAGGTAGCGAGTGAGGCACGGTTTGCATTTTACGTTTTTAATTATCTATAAAAGCAAATACTAAGATGTATTATGCCTCTCTGCGTTGTAACCTTAATAAAGGAAATACCTATTCAGTTTTATCAATTTAAAAATATCGTACAAATCTTGAAAATGGCGAGGAACAGCATACTATACCTAACTACAAAAGTATAAGCGGATCCTATAAAGTTGTCGAATCTGGTTGATAAATATATCCCGAAACCATGTCACTTGGCATTTTACGAGCGCTTCATTCCTCTGTCAGGACCAATCCTCCAACATGGCTATATTACATGAACTTCCACATAACACAGCTCAATCGCCTACTGCCCAGACCATGGCTGCAGTGCATACTCGTAATAAAAACAGCGCAGGTCTGAAGACATTCTTATCTACTGATAAGATGTGGCATGTCTTTATACAGCCCACACCATGAAGAAGGCTGTTCTAATATTGTGTTTACAAGTGGCAATTGGTAGGCATTTAGTTATTTGTTCGGTTCTGTGGATGTGTAACTAATTCATTTTGACATACGCACCCCTATTAACCACGCCATACTCAAGTCATCCATATTGTATTTGGAGAAATGGATTACATTTCTGCAGTAGACAAGCTTGTTTGTTCGTTGTTTAACTCACTTTGGAAATTGGGCCAAGCTAGGTTTTATGTGTATACTTGTATATTTGTTCGTTTGACGTTGTTTTACCCTTCAGCTAGTTTACAGTACAACCAGAAATTATTGAGAATTTAAAGATTGTAATTTTAAAAAAAAATCACTCATTACTCACGTATTAAATGTGAATATTAGCAGAACATAACTCCAGATTCAAAGACAGGTGAACAGTTAGTATTTTGTCAAGTTACCATGGGCAGCAATGCAGGCTTCAATGCAGCGGGGCATACTACTGATCAAAGAAGTTAGAAAGTCGTCGTCCATGCTGTCCCAATATCGGACCACCTCTTCTTTCATTTCAGCAATATTTGTCAGATTTTACTTATTGACACTTTCTTTCATAAGTCCCCAAACATTTTCTATTGGATTTAGGTCAGGGCTATACCTTGGCCAATCTAATAATGTCATATTTTGGGTCCGAAACCAGGCCTGTGAATGCTTTGAACGATGTTTTGAGTCGTTGTCCTGCTGGAAAATCCAAAAATTTCAAGGAACACGTGAGCAGATGGAAGTAAATGTCCCTCGAGAATATCTGTGTACCGCTCATTGTTCATATTCCCTTCAAA